CCGACGATTTTGTGGAGAAGTCGCGAGCAGGCTGTAGAGCCCCAGCGATGCCTGGGCGGTGCCCTGTCGATTTCCCGTCGGTCGCCGGTCGATTTTAGGTCAAAACTGGGCGAAATTGGAGAGCTTCTCCGAGCGGCGTCCCGGCAGTGACCGACCGATGACCAACCGATACCCGAGCGGTCTCCAACCGGCCACCGGCTTACTGTAAGAAAATTGCCCGGCAGCCGGCCGGTGATCGGCGGGGCGCCAAAAAAAGCTCGGTGCCCGGGTGTTCGCAGCCCGGACATCGACCTAATCGAGCGTTCGCCGTCGAGCGATTTAGGTCAAAAATCTAGGCCGCTAGGTCAAAGGCTGCTGACTGATTTTGAACTCGCCGCCCAGTGACCGACTGATCTCCCAGCGGCGACCGGCCGACGACCGGGTGGCGAACGCTCAGCAGCCTTTGACTTAGCGGCTTCGATTTTTGACCTAAATCGCTCGACGGTGAGCGCTCGACTAGGTCGGTGCCCGGACGGCGACCGCCCGGGCACCGAGCGTACTTTGGGCGGCGAGTGAAAGTGAGCAGGCGCCGCCCGAATTTTAACTCCGCGCTAAAACTTCAGCAGCGACCGAGCCATGCCCTAAAAACAAGCGGGCCGGGCGGCCGCCGCTGGGCGAAATTGGCTCAAAACTCGTCGCCCGGCCGCCGAGCAGGCTACTTTTAGGTGATGTGACCATAATGGAATTACCTAGACAATGATATTTAACTTAAGCTATGGTCGTGCATTGATTAAGCATTTTCTTACATTTTATTTCATTCAGCTTTGGTAATTGTATTTTTTCAAGTTCGAGTTCGTTCATTCATTTCATTTAAACAAAACAGCAAATGCAAATAAACATACAAGTATATATACATACAGTTGTAGCGTCTACTTACTTCTATCAATGTCCTCCACACAATCCGTTGCTGCAGTCATGATCTGATTCCCGAGAACTGACCAAACAATAAGCGATAGGAATACAAGTCGTCTCATTACTTCCAAGTCCCTCATATTATCATTAATGATTCTCCAAACAGATGATTCGAAACTCAACAAGCTGAAAAATTTCTTTTTTTACAAGCCATTGACGAATTAATAGTTAATTTAGCAATACCCTCGCCAGAGCCGCCTTGAGAACCTTGCGCGGTGGATATGATAGGAAAAATAGAAATGGAATAGCATTGCTTCCGTTCTATTTGGAGGCAGTATACAACGGAAATCAATGGATACATTACTTCTGCTTTATGTTACTATAATCAGTGTTTATATTATACGCCGGTAGATTTTGCAACGTAATTGTGGGCTTGTAAGTTTGTTCAGGCTGCAACCTCGAAACCATTGCAAGGATCGAAGATAGCTGAAAGCAAAAGTGAAACTCAAACTTTCACTGATGATCTATTTCTTTCTACTTTTTTTCGCTTGCAATAAAACTAGCTTCATATCCGGGTGGACTGCCCTTTATATGCATCCGGATATATATAAATACATTTCGTATTTGTTTTAAAAAACCCGGACTGGAAGGAATTGGGGATAGAGCATTTGCATCAGCAGCTCATTCTCAGTGGAATAATTTCCTGCTTTCTCTTCAAACAACCAATATCCTTCAAAATGTTAAAGTCATACTCGAAGATAAAGTTGAGTTCTGGTCTTGCGATTGCATTGTGAAAGAAACGGTGTGGAATCGATCAGGAAAAGTTTATTATGTAGCATATAAGTATTGGTGTGTACTGTAATCATTATGGTGCCTTCACTTAAACTGTATCATAATGTGAAAGAGGATGCCATTTAATACACACTGCTGCAAAGATCCCCCTAAAAAAAAAAAGGTTTTGGTATGCCCTTTCGAATACAAAATTCTTTGAGAAGCAAAAAAAAAAAGGGGGGGGGGAGTGGTCTTCACCCTAAGAAACTTCATTTTTTTTCTATCTTCTTGACCCATCCCCTACTTCTTTTCTTTATGCCGGAGAGGAGGCACGTACCATCTCCCTGCATCTGTCACTGATCGTGGATGTCAAAAAGCCTTAACTGAATCGATAACATATTATTCTTTGTTACGTCATGTTCGTAGGCACTGCTAATGGTTGTGCCAACGAGCCCTGTTATAATGGAGGCACTTGCAAGAACAGCTTGACCAGTTACACGTGCCAATGTGCAATGCAGGAGATACAGGAACCCACTGTGAAATGTGTGAGTAAGTCCTAAATGTATCAAAGAGACTCAAAAATTATGGCTTGTTCAGATATGCCGCGGTATAAAAAGAGAAGAAGATAGAGAGAGAAAGGAGAGAGAGAGGGAGAGAGAGAGGGAGAGAAGAAGAAGAAGAAAAACAGAGAGAGGAGGAGAAAAATAGGAGGAGAAAAGAAAGGAAAGGAGGAAGGAAGAAAACAAGAAACAGAAAGAGTAGAATAAATGGGAGGAGAGCAAGAAGCAGAGGAAGAAGAGGGCAAGGAGAGAAGGTGTAGAAGAAGAGTGAGAATGTGAAATAAACATGCTTTGAGACTTCATAAGGTTGTGGCCCTCATGCATTGAGACTTCATAGGGCTGTGGCCCTCCCAACATACTTGGAGCCAGGGGCGTACGCAGGGGGGGGGGGGGTTGGGGGGTTCAAACCCCCCCCTTTGGAATTTTTATGTGTGTAAACCCCCCTAAAAAAAACTAAAACCCCCCCCCCTTTTTTCTTTTTTCTTTTTTTTTTTTTAAATTAAAAAAAAAAAAAAAAAAAAAAAAAAAAATTATGCCCACGGCTAACGTAAAGTGACCTTACCCCCCCCCCCCAACGAAAAAAAATTTCAAATTTTCAAATTTCGAGACCAAAAAAAAAAAAAAAGAGTCCGCTTACCCCCCCTTGAAAAAATCATCCTGCGTATGCCCCTGCTTGGAGCAGTATATTGAAAAGAAAGAAGTTACTGCAATATTTGTTACGGTGTTCCTAACTTCTTTTAAAACGTTAATTTCGACTCTTAAAGAGAGAAGAAATATTTTAGCCGAGCTGTTTGTTGGGTTTCATTGTCCTTTCAATGTATGAACTATAATTAATCATTCCATCATCCAGTCAACCAATCAATCAACCAATCAATCATCATACTACCCGAATAATCAACATCCTACCATATCAATCAATCAATATATCAATTAATCAACCAGTCGATCAACCAATCATCCAACTATTCAATCAATCAATCAATCAACTAATCAATCATTCTACTATTCAACTAATCAACATCCTGCCATATCAATCAATCAATATATCAACCAATCATCCAACCAATTAACCAAACCTTCAATCAATCTATCAATCAATCAACCAGTTGAAATATCAATCGATCACTATCAGCTAAAATTGTGTGCAAAGAGAAATGTAATCATAGAACAGGAAACCACACAAGAGAAAACAATACTGTCCCATGAAAAAGGGAATTGAACAACAACTTCCCATTTCATATTCATTTCATATTCTGCAGTTTTGAATTGAAGTATGTTCATCGTGCATATACAATGTATACAACTCAAATGATATGTAAATCAAAAATAAATAAATAGGGTTCCATGAAGCCCTTTCATATTTGTATCATATCGTTCTAATCTGCAGAATGTTTGTGAAAGTTGATCATATGAATTATGAGACCATTCCAGATCTTTGACATTTCTTTTTTAACGAGCACATGTTGTGATATTGGTTCTGTTGTGTATTTATATGAAGAATTCATTACAATGGTCATGATGGTACATGGATATTTTGTTTTAAAAATACAAGCACTAAATAAAATGAGACAGAAAATCATGTTAAAAACAATGGAAACATTATTAAGAATCGATAAGTGTGCAAATGTGACATATTAAAGCTTTCATCTAAAATTATTTAACAAAGGACCTGTTTCGACCAGTCCACCTTTCATTCTTGACAAACATCAAACATCACACATACGAGGGGTATGAATAATTCAGTTGATAACTGTATGAATACTACATATATACATATATATAACCCTACATGGTACATTAAGTGGACATCATAAAAATCCTAACCCTAACCCTAAAACCTAACCCTAACCCTAACCTTAACCCTAATGTCTACTTAATGAATCATTTGTTCACTTTAAATGTCCCTCCAATGACGCCTTTATTGAAATTACATATATAAAGAGAGATATACAGTGCGTCCCAGAAAAAACGTAACCGAGAATTATCGATGTTTTATCATAACTTAATCGAAATTATAATTAATATATGACACATATTTGTAAAGCCTAGATCCTTTTCTTTCTTTTGATCCAACTCATATTTTGCATGAGTGATAAAAAAAAATTGAAGAGAGGACACAAAGTCATTTGGCGGACGGTATCTGAATTTCAAAGAGAAAATCACATTTCTGGAAATTTAACTTTCTTCCCTTTCATATGACACCTCAATCAGGAAAAATGAGCTTGGAATAACAAGGTTCTGTTTGTTTAAAGTAAGGCTTGTATTTCCGTAATTTTATTAAACGAATTTGTTTTCACTGGGTGCCTGTCGTAGCAACAAGCAGAATTGACAAAAGACTTATCTCCGTTTCGTTGACAACTAGCCATGCATCAAGTCTTTCGTCTTCTTTGTGCATGGCTGATTTAAAAAAACAAAAACAGAGTTAAGTCTTCTGTCAACTCTGTTTGTTGCTACGGCAGGCAGCCAGAGAAAATGAACTCGTTTAATCAAATTATGGAAATGCAAGCCTTTTTTAAAACAAACAGAACTTTGTTATTCCTGGCTCATTTTTTTTCTGATTGAGGTGTCATATGAAAGGGCAGAAATTGAAATTTCTAGAAATGTTATTCTCTCTTTGAAGATATACCGCCTGCCAAATGACTTTTTGGTTTCCTCTCTTCAAAGTGTTTTAAATCGCTCATGCATTAAATATGCATCATATGAGTTGCACAAATATGTGTCATTTTTTAATCATTATAAATGTGATTAAGTTATGATAATACATCGATAATTCTCGGTTCCGTTTTTTATGGGACGCACTGTATAGCGCTCGATCCACATCAGCTGAAAGCTTATCGGTTCGGATCTGAATTAGTTGTAAAAAGGAGATAGAAAGCAAATATACCAAGCATTAAGTTCGAAAGTATAGTGAAAATTATATATCTTTGGAGGGACTGGCAATAGTTACTATTTTTTCTCTCGAAATTATACCTTCTGTTTCTAGTGCGGCGCGATGGTCATGATACCAAAGTTTGACGTCAGTGCCATAGCGTTTCCATGACAACACGACTAGGGAAAGGAGGATGATCATTGTTGTAACCACGACCACGGCCACAATGGTTGTGTGCGTGACTTTGACTACATGTTCCTCTGTGGTCGCTGTAAGAAAGTAGATAAAGAAACACGCACGTATGAGATGCTGATAACTGTAATGTGATCGAGAGCACTGTGGTATTACAGGTGGAGGCTCATGATATGACAGGTCCCGGGTTCAATCGTTGCTCGGTGCTTGATATCTTTGGACGAAATGTTTCATCCCTCTGGTCCTATGTGTATAAATGGAGACCTTGCAACGGTTGAATGGTAATAGCTCCATCTGTAATAAGTCTACCCTGGGTAATAAACCAAAGACAAGAAAATAAATCAAAGACAAGCCAAATCGTCGTAAAGTCGTTAAGTGTCTACACGGTCTAAGGATATTCTTACCAAGCGAGAGTGTAAGGTTGACTTTCGTTATGTACTGGGAGATCTTACACATGACCTGGTATATCCCCAAAGCCTCTTCAGTCACATTAGTGATGTTCAGCCATGTAGACAAAATCTTGAAAGGCTTCCTGGGTAAAGGGAGTCAAGTATAAAGAAATGCCTAAACATGTACACCACCATTACACATGTACGTCATGGATTCTCGAAAATCGATTTCAACCAATGAAATGAAATTTGTATGAATTGATGAATCGTATCCGTGCCAAAAGGTTATTTAAAACAAGATAAAACATGAATCATAACTTCTTCTCGCATTGAGTGATAATCCGTGGTGAGTTAAGGATTCCCTGGCAGTGGGGGAAGGGGTGGGGGAGGGGGCAACAGTCTGAAAGCTCTCGGACAAGCAGAATAAATGTTATATATTTCAAGAGCTGAGTTTTCTGCCGGGAAGGAGACACATCTTCTTTGCATACTCCATGCGTTTTAAGATATGCCAGGTTGGGTTTTGCCGAGTGGTAGGGGGTTGGTAGGGCACGCCTCCCCCAAAAATTAGCCATGCTGTCATACAGCAGTTTAGAAATTTGTTTTTAAACCCACTGCATTTGGCAAGCGATTGGAAACGCACAAAATATTATTTCAAAAATGAAGCAAAACAGAACTGTTTACTTGTTTAGAATTTGCTTCGGTGGGCAACTACCCCTTTGGCTGAACTATACGCACTACAATTGTGTTTTGCCCCCTTGAGGTCAAGGTCTGGATACGCCCCTGGTAAGAAGTTAATAAAAACGAAAAATCTTGCTTACCTTTGACAAGTCTGAGTTTGGGTGACATTTCCGTCTTCTTTTCGGCTCCCATATGAGAACTCCGTGCCATGGATCTCATAGAAGTCCACGTTTTCATATATCCCGTTGGTCTGATTCAGTTTTTTCCAATTATGCTGCAAAAGAAGATCGTATCGATACTTGAACTGGCAGAAGAAGGAGGCGTTCCCTCCAAGAACGGCCATCTGATCCTTGCACACAGCGTTGGACGATTGATACGGGATTGGTTTGTTGATCCAAGGGCGCTCTGCACAGAGATGGAAGAGTGAGAATGAGAATGAAAATGAGGGAGAAAGACAGAGAGAGAAAGAGAGGGGGTGGGGGAATAGGGAGGGGGTAGAAAGAAAGGGAAAAAGAGAAAGAGAGAAAATGTTATAACTATCATTATTACTATTAGCATTATTATTGCCATGGTTATTATTATTATTGTTTTTATTATCATCATTATGATATTTATTATTATCAATAATAACATTAATGTTAATATTTTTGTTATCATTATGATTGTTATTATTGTCAATGATATTATTATTGTGATATTATTATTACCATTATAATCTATATTATTGTTATCATTATTATCATTATTATTCTCCTTTTCAGCGCTTCACCCTTCATCTCCCGCCCTGCCTACCTTGGATACGCATGTTGATACTCCGATTAATATTCCTCACACCGTTCGACACCACGCAAGTGTATTTTCCTCCAGCGTCGATGTCTGTGGAAAGGAAGTTGAGCGTCTGGTTGCTGTGCTCTAGCTTATACTTGGTGTCGGAGTTGTGGCCCAAACTCCAGGAGTCGTACGGGATGTCATTGAAGAACCACTGTATATTACAGAAGTGGAGGCTCTTACACTGGAGAAGACGGTGCTGGCACTGGGTGGAGAACACCAGCTTCGCAGTCTCTTCCAGAAAGGAAAGCTTATCTGTGAGAGTGGAGTAATGCAAACGTTTACTGGGATCAGCAGGAGATCGAATACCTCACAACCCAAGGAGTTAACATCATATGAAAAAGAGTGTAATATATAAACAAATCATTTTTAATTTTACAATCAATTTGATATAACAATGGTTTATCAAAGACAAGTTACAAGTATTATACCGTGTAAAGAATGAACACACAAAGGTGATGAAACATAAGCATAGAGCGGAATCGTTACAACACCTTATAATATGCGATAGATGAGAAATAAAATTCCTAAAAGGTTGTGAACTATTGACACTTTTTACAAAGAACAAGAAGAAAAAAACTAGAAAAAAAGAAGTATAGTGATAAGTCAGTAATCTTCAATGATCTTTTTAGCACAAAGGCCTCTTATCACTCATATTCCACCCGTCAATACGCAGATTTTCATCACTTTCTTCCCAAAACTACAATCAGTCAACATTCCTTAAGTTTTAATGGAATTAAGTTGCTATGGTCATAAATCAGAGCAGCGACCGACCGATTAGTAGCCTGCTCGGTCGCCGTTGGAATTTAGGCATCGCCCGACGATTTTGTGGAGAAGTCGAGCAGGCTGTAGAGCCCCAGCGATGCCTGGGCGGTGCCCTGTCGATTTCCCGTCGGTCGCCGGTCGATTTTAGGTCAAAACTGGGCAAAATTGGAGAGCTTCTCCGAGCGGCGTCCCGGCAGTGACCGACCGATGACCCACCGATACCCGAGCGGTCTCCCACCGGCTACCGGCTTACTATAAGAAAATTGCCCGGCAGCCGGCCGGTGATCGGCGGGGCGCCAAAAAACGCTCGATGCCCGGGCATTCGCCGCCCGGACATCGACCTAATCGAGCGTTCGCCGTCGAGCGATTTAGGTCAAAAATCTAGGCCGCTGGGTCAAAGGCTGCTGACCGATTTTGAACTCGCCGCCCAGTGACCGACTGATCTCCCAGCGGCGACCGGCCGACGACGAAAGGGCGGCGAACGCTCAGCAGCCTTTGACTTAAGGAGCTCTCACACTCTGCCGTGTAGGCCTACCGTCCACCTGCCGGGCTATTAAAAAAACAACAGAGTCCCGAACGTTGGGTTTTGAGCGAACTTGTCCCCGGCCCCCAAAAAAAATTCATAAAATTAATCTTTTCACCGTTTTGTTGCCATCTTCTGACCGTTCTCACCGGGCGCATACCGGGTGTTGAACGTGCTTCTACCGTCTTCACCGCCCAGATTGACTTTTGTTGAAAATTTTGGCCGTTTCCATACCGGGCCCATACCGGGTCTCGAACGTGTGCACCGGGTTTGTAGCAGCCACCTACCAGTCACTTAGCGTCCCCTCACCGCTCGGAGCGTCCTGTGAGCGAGTCCCCGGACTGCTGACGTCATGACACGACTGCCATAAATACCCCGATTTGAACGGCAATGGTCAGTCCGCTCTCCATTTTTCATCACCGTTCTGTAACGGGTTATGAGCGTGTTGTGAACGTGTTCATACAGTGTGACCGTTTTCATAACGTATTCATACCGTCCTCTTGCCGCTTACTTGCGGCCGGTGCCAGCCGGCCAAAGTTTTGAACATGCCCAAAACTTTCGCCGGGTCCCACCGGGTGTAACGCCCTATTAACGTGTTGCCCGCTTTGATAACGAACCACCGTGTGCCCTCGCCGTTCTCCACCGTCCGCAGACATTTTCGCGCACTGTGGCGCACGGTAGGCCTACACGGCATAGTGTGAGAGTCACTTTAGCGGCTTCGATTTTTGACCTAAATCGCTCGACGGTGAACGCTCGAATAGGTCGGTGCCCGGACAGCGACCGCCCGGGCACCGAGCGTACTTTGGGCGGCGAGTGAAAGTGAGCAGGCGCCGCCCGAATTTTAACTCCGCGCTAAAACTTCAGCAGCGACCGAGCCATGCCCTAAAAACAAGCGGTGCCTGGGCGGCCGCCGCTTGGCGAAATTGGCTCAAAACTCGCCGCCCGGCCGCCGAGCAGGCTACTTTTAGGTGATGTGATCATAATGGAATGACCTAGACAATGATATTTAACTTAGCTATGGTCATGCATTAATTAAGCATTTTCTTACATTTTATTTCATTCAGCTTAGGTAATTGTATTTTTTCAAGTTCGAGTTCGTTCATTCATTTCATTTAAACAAAACAGCAAATGCAAATAAACATACAAGTATATATACATACAGTTGTAGCGTCTACTTACTTCTTTCAAGGTCCTCCACACAATCCGTTGCTGCAGTCATGATCTGATTCCCGAGAACTGACCAAATACTAAGCGATAGGAGTACAAGTCGTCTCATTACTTCCAAGTCCCTCATATTATCATTAATGATTCTCCAAGCAGATGATTCGAAACTCAACAAGTTGAAAATTTTCTTTTTCTACAAGCCATTGACGAATTAATAGTTAATTTAGCAATACCCTCGCCGGAGCCGCCTTGAGAACCTTGCGCGGTGGATATGATAAGAAAAATAAAAATGGAATAGAATTGCTTCCGTTCTATTTGGAGGCAGTATACAACGGAAATCAATGGATACATTACTTTTGCTTTGTGGTACTTTAATCAGTGTTTATATTATACGCCGTTAGATTTTGCAACGTAATTGTGGGCTTGTAAGTTTGTTCAGGCTGCAACCTCGAAACCATTGCAAGGATCGAAGATAGCTGAAAGCAAAAGTGAAACTCAAACTTTCACTGATGATCTATTTCTTTCTACTTTTTTTCGCGTGCAATAAAACTAGCTTCATATCCGGGTGGACTGCCCTTTATGTGCATCCGGATATATATAAATACATTTCGTATTTGTTTAAAAAATCAGGACTAGAAGAAATTGGGGATAGAGCATTTGCATCAGCAGCTTCTTCTCAGTGGAATAAGTTACTGTTTTCTCTTCTAACAACCAATACCTTTCAAAATGTTAAAGTCATACTTAAAGATAAAGTTGAGTTCTGGTCATGCGATTGCATTGTGAAAGAAACGGTGTGGAATCAAACAGAAAAGTTATTATGTAGCATTAGTAGTATTGGTGTGTACTGTAATCATTATGGTGCCTTCACTTAAACTGTATCATAATTTGAAAGAGGATGTCATTTAATACACACTGCTGCAAAGATCCCCCTAAAAAAAAAAAGGTTTTGGTATGCCCTTTCGAATACAAAATTCTTTGAGAAGCAAAAAAAGAAAAAAAAAAGGGAGGGGGGGGGAGTGGTCTTCACCCTAATAAACTTAATTTTTTCTATCTTCTTTACCCATCCCCTACTTCTTTTCTTTATGCCGGGGAGGAGGCACGTACCATCTCCCTGCATCTGTCACTGATCATGGATGTACAAAAAGCCTTAACTGAATCGATAACATATTATTCTTTGTTACGTCATGTTCGTAGGCACTGCTAATGGTTGTGCCAGTGAGCCCTGTTATAATGGAGGCACTTGCAAGAACAGCTTGACCAGTTACACGTGCCAATGTGCAATGCAGGAGATACAGGAACCCACTGTGAAATGTGTGAGTAAGTCCTAAATGTATCAAAGAGACTCAAAAATTATGGCTTGTTCAAATATGCCGCGGTAAAAAAAGAGAAAAAGATAGAGAGAGAAAGGAGAGAGAGAGGGAGAGAGAGGGCGAGAGAAGAAGAAGAAGAAAAACAGAGAGAGGAGGAGAAAAATAGGAGGAGAAAAGAAAGGAAAGGAGGAAGGAAGAAAACAAGAAACAGAAAGAGTAGAATAAATGGGAGGAGAGCAAGAAACAGAGGAAGAAGAGGGCAAGGAAAGAAGGTGTAGAAGAAGAGAGTGAGAATGTGAAATAAACATGCTTTGAGACTTCATAAGGTTGTAGCCCTCCCAAGATACCTGGAGCAGTATATTGAAAGGAAGAAGTTACTGCAATCTTGGATACGGTGTTCCTAACTAAGAAATGTTTTAGCCGAGCTCTTTTGGGTCTCGTTCTCCTTTTTGATATATAAAAACAATTAATCAATCTATCATCCAGTCAACCAATCAATCAGCCAATAAATCAACCAGTCGATCAACCAATCATCCAACTAATCAATCAATCAATTATCCAACCAATCAATTAATCAATGAAACCACCAATCAATCAATCATCCAACTAATCAACATTCTATCATATCAATCAATTAATCAACCAGTCGATCAACCAGTCGATATACCAATCGATCATTATCAGCTAAAAGTGTGTGCAAAGAGAAATTTAATCATAGAACAGCAGACTACACAAGAGAAAACAATACTGTCTCATGAAAAATGGTATTTATTTCATGTTTTTTAAGTTCTGAATTGAAGTATGTTTATTGTGTATATATACAACTCGAATGATATGTAAAGCAAAATAAATAAATAAAAAGAGAATTGGGTTGCATGGAAGAGCCCTTTCATCTTGTATCATAAACAAACAAACAAATATTGTTATAATCTGTAGGGTATTTGTAAAAGTGGATCATACGGAATATGAGACAATTCCAGATCTTTGACATTAATTTTGTTTTTTAACGAGCATATTTTGTGATATTGGTTCTGTTTTGTATTTATAAGAAGAGTTAATTCCAATGGTCATGATGGATGGTGGATATATATATATATTTTTTAAAGTTTACAAAAGGAAAATGAGACAGAAAATCATGTTAAAAACAATGGAAACATTATTAAGAATTGATAAGTGTGCAAATAACTGGATTGTTAAAGATGAATTTAAATGTTCAGAAGACGGCCAATGGTAATTTATTATCAATTGTGTTAACACATTGCATTGCCTTTTATAGTTGACAACTGTACAACATTTCGGAAATGATATATTCGTAAATTTTATAGTAAATTTTCTCTTATGTTCTTACACATTTGCATAATAACAATGATTATGCTCACCAATAATTTGTTTTACCTCTACCCAGAAATCAACTGTCTCTTTAAGCTGAAAAGAGTGTTGCCATGTGGACTATATGTATCCTGGATTGCTCTCATTATCAATCAAATGAGGCCCCTTTTTTGGTCGTAGGAAGAATTGAAAGATGGAGAGAGAGGAGTTGAATGTGTTTGAATTTGGCTGATATTCTTGGAATGAGTTAAGATTGTCAGGTTCGTTTGCGTGGACCGGGTGGGAAGGCGAGAAAAGTGAGGACGAGGTGGAAGATCCATAACTGGATGATAAGGACATCGGCGCCGTCGGCGACAGCGGAGGAGACGTAGTCGTCGACATATATGATATTTCTGAGGACTGAGTTGAAGGTCGGTTCTGCCGGGACGAGCCCGAAGCTTTCCCTACGACGAGTCCACCAGATCTTGATGATTCCGGACAAGATAACGCTGTTAAATGTTGTAGGCTGGAATCGACTGCATATGGTCTTTCAGTAGTTAGCAATGATGGGGACGTCAATGATATCGATGACGAGATATTCGACGGCGTTGCGGCTGACATTACCGGCATCGTAATATACGATGATTGTTCAATCGGTAAATTACTGCTTTGTCGACGCGGTGGTAGTCGGAGTCGTAACCGCTTCATTGCCCAATCATCGAGACGCGTCTCGCCCTTCTGCTTCCATTTTAAACATGTGACATCCTTGAGCACGTGGTCGATCAGCTTGGCATTCGAGTCGGTGTTCGACAAGGAGGTTGGCCCGGAGTCTCGGTAGAGCAGAGGGATGACGTTTGGGTGCATGGTGTCCAACGCGTGATGGAGTTCAAACAAATGCCATTCGTTTCCTGAAAAATTGTTCCCCGAAAACGATGGCGATGATGGAGAAGACGATGATGATGACGAGGAAGTCAGTTGTGCAGCTGTAGTATCTATCATTCCTGATATAGATTGCGATGATGAGGTCGATGAATGCCGGTAGAAATCTGCTGACAGTAACACGATGCAGCGGCGGCTTTTTGTCAGCGCTTCCACGATTTCTTCACTTTCAACTAATGATGCAAACAGAATGATGGAAACAGAATATGCATTTGCCCAAGAAATATAAGATCAGTGGAAGAAAATTGGGGATCGAACAAGTATAACATCTAAATTAGGCATACTATTGTTAATACATCATTAAGATAAATTATCTTGATATTGTACTTCTTCGTTCCCCCAATAAGTATCAACTGGATTTGGTTTTTGGTTGAGAAGGGGGAACGGTCTTACTTTGATCAAACTTACATGTAAGCCAACATTTTTTTGTCACTCACAGTAGTAGTCAACATGCGGAAAAGAAGAGAAGGTGTTTATATTAATATTTATCTGATCAAATCAATTTCATTATGCTGTTATTCTTATGCTTCAGTCATACTTCCATGTAAATCCTATCGCAAGCGCCACGTAATTTTGTTAGATATTGTGATTAACAGAACTTTACTAAAGGGAGTGCAAAAAAAGATCGAACTAACCAGAGCCGAATGTTGCGTCTCTTTCTCGTATGAATAGTTTATACTGGTCCTGCAAACTCGGGCAGAGAATGTTGTCGACAAAGGATTTATCCTGGCCTTCATAACATGAAATAATGTATGCGTCGTAGAGTTTGTTATCTATCTCTGGAGAAAGAAAGAGAGAGAGAGAGAGAGAGAGAGAAAACATAAGAATAATTGACAAAATTAATCACACAATGATTGATTCATGGTCACAAAAAAAATCATACCAAATATCATGAACGTCCTAGAATTTGTTATCTATTTCTTGTTTAAAAAAAGAGGGAGGGAGAGAGATAGATGGGGCAACAATCTTAACAACAATGATAATAGCGAGACTTATTTTGCGTTTATATCCATCCCATGGGATGCTCGTGTCTCAATTATAATTTATTATCGCGCCCAAGGAATACATTCTTACCAGGGTGGAGAGTGTCATTTAGATGAACTGCCAAAGTAATGTATGGTGATGGAAAGCCACTTTAAGCAGGAAGCCCTCTCTTGACGGTGGGATGACAGCTATAACTCTACTTTGGTTTATCCCATTTACTCTCAAACTCCCACTCTACATACTCATGTCCCCAATTGGCATGAACCCGAGGGGAAAATAGGGTTAAGCAACCTCTTTTTTTAAATTATTTTCAGACAATCAAAGCCTCTATTGTTAGTAACCCCTTCCATGGCTCACAGCCCAGATTACAGCATCATGTCATTTAATATTGTAGTGTAAGCAAGGGAAAGCAAGGGATAGATTAATGCATTTTTTTTAAAGTCGAAGAGACGTTTTTTATGCCCCAATTGGCATGAACCCGAGGGGAAAATAGGGTTAAGCAACCTCTTTTTTT